GTCGCACAAAAACTACGCGCATGGGGGTGCGACCAAACCCCGCGATCACTTTTTGTGACGGAAACGTATCAGCTACTAGTACTAATGATAATACTTCTATGACTGGCTGTAACACCAGCACTAACAGGATCACCTGTAGCATCTCTCCTAATATTACTATGCTGTCATCAGCACCAGCACAGCACCTCCTTGACTTCTTGCTCTTATCAAAGCAAGCAATATTGATGAACCACAGATAATAAAAGTAACACCAGTGAACCAAAAAATCTTAATATTACATTTTAACCTTGTGAACCAAGTAAGGCACTACTATGTTGGCCAGAGCCATAAATTCAGGAAGATCTATACTCCTAGTCACTCTGAGGGTTGGTACCTCCCTCCAAGGAGCAGTAATGGAGGCATGGCAGTTCAAATTGTTTAGGCTGAAGTGTTACTAGTTGAAAAATTGTGTAATTGGAGTCTGCCTATTGCTAGTATCATACCTGCCTGCAGAAGCAGTGAGTCCCACATGAGTCAGTCCTAGGGCTCACACACACTCAGTTGCCTTCCTATCACATTCACCTAGTTTTTTTTTTCATATGTCACCACCTATGTAGGTACCATACCTAGTAGGAGCAAAACAATATGCATGTGGACATGAGCATAAGTCACAGAGTTCATGGATCTGGACGTACGGTACTTGTACCTCTGTATGTACAAACATGAACTTTGATACATTGCACTCCCCTATTGGAGCTACAAAGTATGGGCCCGCCCATAATGGTAAGTAATTGGCAATCCCCGTACAAATACTAATAGATAGTTTTAGCTCTTTTTTTCAGTTAAAACCAGTTAAAAAAAGGCATCCAACGGAAAATAATAAAAATATTTCCATTGTTTGATTTTCTTGCTAGTCCCAAAATATTTCTATTAGTTGTCCTTACTACTACTGGGGATATAAAATCAGTGCTTACTACTACTTGAGAATTAATATTAGTGCTTACTACTACTCTAGCACCAGCACCAACAGACCCCCTTACCCAGCAGTTCACAGCAGTGTTAAAGTAGTAGTAATTCAGGTGATCCAGTAGTACTACTAAGCACTAATATTAATTCTCAAGTAGTAAGCACTGATTGTATATCCCCAGTAATAAGGACCAATAATAGAAATATTTTGGGACTCAGTAGGTTTTTGTGTGGAGGGGGGGGGTGAGGGGAAATAATGACAGGAAAATAAGAAAAAATTGACACCCGGGGAATTGCCAATAACTTGCCATTATGGGGCCCTTACTTACTAGCTCTATCCCCTATTAAATTTATGTCCCCTAAAACCGTTACGAGTACCGTACGGTAGTACGATACCGGTGCGTCTGGAATGGAACTCAGTTTTTTTCGTCAATCAGCAGACGCGAAAACTAGAGGTCCATGTTTTTGACTACCGGTATTTCATTGGACCTACCTCCTCACCAAACACTTTGTATTGAACTTTCGTCGGTGACATGCGATGAACAGCTGGCGACAGCAGGCTCGTTTTGTTTTTAATAGATCAGAGGGTTGTTCTTTGCATTCTCCTGCGATATTCTTTCAGCTGCTTGCATTTGTTCATTTTCTAACGACCATTAAGTTTTCACTGTTGACACCTATTGTTAAAGCCCTGGCAAAGATATGCTCTCAAACTAACAGCTGTAGGCGATCAAGGCAGAAAGAAGATCAACCACATCGGTCTCACAGTTTGGTGCTCTACTAGCGTTTTGTACGTAACAGATAATAAAAGTGTTATTTCCTCTTTATTTCCTCTTCACGCCTTTCCCACAAAGAACAAATTAATCACACAAGATTCAAGATAAGTAGTGCTAGGATTGAAATCGGAGAAAAATCGACAACCGCCATAAAAATCAATATCATCACCCTACTCTACGACATTACATAAAAGACATGTCGCCCAGCGCAGAGAGAGATAATAGGAGCACTTCTCCAAATAAACGAATTAATTATAGAACGATGACCTCCTGTCACGACTCTTCGTCGAGTCTGGATGATCAAAATGATCGAGGCCGTTCGATCGCGAAAGGAGGTGTTACAACACCGTAAGTTCGACAGAAGTCGAAACTCAGTCATATTTAGAGATCATTCGATGTGACCAGGTTATTTGACGTTTGATTTTTTCGTTAAACTTGATGTTTGACTTTGTTGTGTTTTGATGATGAAAAGAGATCAGAAAGAAACGTTACATAATTATTCGATTCTCCTCTCAATAATTTCCTCATCGCCACTTTCACAATTCTCTTCTTCTTCATTTGAATTAAGATTTCCGTGGAAACTTCACATCATGCTTGACACTATGGACGAAACTGGAGAGAAGTCCATAGTCTGTTGGCAGCCTCACGGAAGAGCATTCATGGTTCATAAGCCAAAAGACTTCGTGCAAGAAGTCATGCCTCACTTTTTCAATCAAACGAAGTATGCTTCTTTCCAACGGCAGCTCAATCTTTACGGTTTCTCTCGATTGACTCATGGACCTGACAAAGGTGCATACTACCACAATTGCTTTGTTCGTGGGAAACGGCATCTATGCAAAGGTATGATCCGTCAGAAAATTAAAGGGACTAAGGTGCGCAAATCACTTTCACCTGAAGATGAACCGAATTTTTATACCATGTCATCGACAGATATATTTATTTCTCCTGGAAAAGTGCGTCAAGAAAAACTTGAAAATGCTTGTCAATCGTCTTCGGTACAATCTTGCAACGACGCAGTTCATACTACGACAAGTTCCTCGTCTTCCGAAGAATCGCCTGTTTCATATGTATCGATTGCTCCTTTAGATCCTTTCCAGCCAAAACCAAACGCTCTCAGTGCCAGCAAACATTCTGGAAGAATTAATGCAGCGAGGAAATCAAATAGCTCAAATTGTGAGCTCTTATCGAACAATATCCGACCTCTGTCTACTTCGAGGATTGTATCACCACAGCATTGTAACGATCAATGGGACGTATTAGAAGAGGTGAAAGGTGGCGATTTACTTTTCTTCGAAGGGCAGCCTTTCCGTTACCTAGAGCACTTTGAAGAGGTTCCTGGTAATCAACTATTCACAGCAAAACGAGTTCATTACACTCAAGGAAGTTGTGAATCTGCGAATAACACCGATGGGTTTCAGGACAGGTTTTCAAAATTAATCTTCAACATGGACTCATCTCGAGCTTTCCAAAACGACTTACTGCAAAAGACATCTTGTCCTGTATGAGAAGTTGGTGTAATGCTTATTTGATTGTGTTGAGGAATGCGACGAAATATGTTGCCACTGGTGGAAGGGGAAGAAAAATCTTGCAACAAGGGGAAATTTGTTGGTACCAAAAAAGAATGCATAAAAGATACACGAAGAGAATCACCATACTAAAACCCCATCACAATACCCTCCCAAAGAATACCACATGAATAGTTGTGGTGCTAAAGTTTGAATTTTACATAAATGGGAAATGCCCAACTTTTTTCATATTTGTTATTCTTCTCCGAGAAAACATACACAGCATACCGTGCAATACCTTACTGTATCTGCATTACTAGTACCAGTAGTACAAGGATCGTAGTACACAAGTATTACACCATATGCTGCCATTCTCATATCCAGATTGCACTGCTTCAAGATTTCCAACTTGGTGCTACTAGAGTTTTCTTTCTACTTCATTCGTCATTATTTGAAATATGACTGGCAACTGCATTCTGGTAAACGGTTGCTTGGATTTTTGTCTATTGCATTACATTCTACTACTACCATGGATATTACTACCATTCTTATTGTTATTAGTAGTATTAGTGATATTAGTGATATTGTTATCATTTAACCAGGTCATATCCAAAAAATACTGTCAAAGTCATACTTTTCAAACATGGACACAAATATAAGCCCCCCCACACACATGACTAGTACAATCCTGTACTAAATAGCTTTCTATATATTTCTAATAACTGTCAATGGACTCCTTCAGACAAAGATATAACTGTTTTGATGGAGGACACCCATAATATCAAAAATGGAGGATACTGAGATTACTACCATCTTTGAGAAGCAGCAGCAAATAGTACCACCAAATCTAAAGAATCCCAACTATCTTCCAGAAGAACTCCACAAGGAAAATTATGGAAATGAGGATAGCATGTTGCCCAGCTTAGTGGTCAAGCCTCCAGGCAATCCCCAGCGTTTTCAATTGTTCCATGAAATGGACCATAAGCCAGTTAGAAACTACTGTGCCAAAATTTAAAAACAAGTCACCATGCAAAGCCGCTTCTCTAAAAAGGCCATACCAACAGACCAACACCCCCCTCCAGAGATCCTTTCCAACTCTTCTCCATGAGTGCAGTTTGTTGTCACCAGTGTCAATTGTATTTATTGACAGTGTTGCTGGCAGTGCTGTCTTTGTTGCTGCTACTGTCTTTGCTGCTACTGTCTTTGCTGCTGCTGTCTTTGCTGTTGTTGTCTTTGCTGTTGCTATCTTTGCTGTTGCTGTCTTTACTGTTGCTGTCTTTGTTGTTGCTGTCTTTGCTGTTGATGTCTTTGCTGTTGCTGGCAATGCTGTTGCTGGTAGTGCTGTTGCTGGCAGTGCTGCTGTTGCTCCTCTTGCTCTTGCTATTCACACCTTTCAAAAATACTACTGCACATTTTATTTCCATCAACCAATTTTCCATTTCAGGGAAGATTGGACCAGTCAATACCATTTGCTTCTTTTTAGCTCTTAAATGCTACACAGAGGCCTGAATGTAGATTGTTGCTGATGTTGTCAAAGGAGTCACAGGTCTTGTTGTGTTTATCAGAGGGATGAAGATATATGGTCTCATATGCTACAGGTCACAATGGGTGCATCTAGTAGTCATTAAATATCCCAAGGGTCATATTGAGAAGGGTGAGGGAAGTGAGACCGCTCTTGTTGATGGAAATTCCATCCATGTAGAGGATTAATGGGAATATGATTTCATTCAGTTCTGCTTTGAATTTTCTCTTCTTGGAATCAACCCACCAACTGCCATGGGGGAGCTCATAGAAGATATCATTGTTTTTGTGTTTGAATGACAAAGCCTCTCTACCATGACCAATGTGACATTGGTAAGTAAGGATTGCAGTGCTTACCTGAAAGATTTGTTTTTAACTGCATTCAGAGGGATTGGCTGAGGGTTTGAAATGGAAGTCTATGATAATGGGCTTAAACTTGTTGCCACCTTGAATTTCTGGGAAAATTTGTAACATTCTCTCACCACAAATTTGTGTTTTGAATAGGTTCCTGTCCTCTCAAGAAAAGAGAATGACATGCTCTGCTTCAACTTCCCATTGGTATAACTCCCTCTCAGCAGTCACTGGTGGAATGTTGTAGTTTCAAATATATTTTTACCTATTACTAGTTTGATCTTCATTTTCAGTTTGTGGGAAAAGTTTTGGTAGCCACTAGCCGTCATGATGGTGGGTTTTCTAAAGTCATGACATAGGAGTTTGGGACTGTCTTGGGATGAACTTGATTCAACATTTCTGTCTGCATGGCTGGCTGTGTGATCTCAATCTTCAGAAAATGGGATATGACCAGCGTCAAAAGGTGCAGCATTGTTGTGGAGTTCCTCCTCCAACAAATTTCAGGTGTGGGTTCAAATATAACCTGCAAATCATGATTCTTGGAAAGGGCCATACCAGGACTGTTTTGGGTATTAGGCAAACAAAACTTCGTAGCCAAACTTGATTCCTTCTTGTTGTACTTTGTTCTTTTTAACACAGGACCTGGGAAGATTTGGAAATCGCCATCTCATATCACAGCTGACAATTTCTTCCTCTCAGACTCTATCCTGGATTGGATTGGTAAGCAAGGCTTGGGTATGATGGGGACTGTTGCTAAGAACAGGTTGTCTGCAAAGGTTCCTGGAAAGTATTTCCACAAGAAGAATGCCACAGGGGATGTGAATGGGAAATGGGGAGCAAAGACATCATGTCTTGTCAAGCCAATAAATGCTCTGAAGACTGTTCCAGCTGATCCTAACAAAGGAACCAAAGCATACAGGCAAGTGCATTGTTCATTCCAGAGCACTGGAGCATGCAATTTAGGATCAGTGAACTCTATTTTATCCTCATCTCTTTATATCCACCAGAAGGAAAGGGGCAGGGCATGGAGAAGTAGCATTGGGGAATTGAAATGAATGAGTCTTGTGAGGTTCATCTTTATACATATGGGATACTAGACCATATCGATGCATACATCTCCAGAGCCAACATTGGTTACAAATCATTGAAATACTACCATGCTGCAATTAATCAAAGGCCTTAGCAATTGATTCAGCATACAATATCTACAGAGAGAATACTGATGGGAACCTTGGTGATGAGTGGAAGGTAAGCAATCTGATGAACTATTGTGAGTTTTGTCAGAGGCTTGCCTTGCAGATGACAAGATAAGATCCTGTTGACCAGGCCCATGATTGTGATCACAGACTGAGGCAGTACACACAAGAAAAAAAAGGATTAGAAGTGGAAGAGCAACTAGAAGAGAAGCCTCCAAGACTTTCCTTAAGAATGGTAAGTTGCTTGGATATCACAATTTGCAGACCATTGCAGAGAACCAGGTCAATGGAAGATTTTGCTTCACTCAGACTGAGTATAAAAGGCATTTGGTGGCAACAATGCCTACAAAGTCAAGGAACAGAAACATTTGTTATATGTGTGATATTAATACTTACAGCCTGAGCAAGCTATGTGGAGTCCCACATTGCAGCAGCAATGCTCATTAAAAAAGAGAGATTCCAATGGAGAGCCCATTTGCAACAAGTTTTGTCCTAGCAACTATCACTATTATGAATGGTTTGGGCTTGGAAGAAGTGACTACTGCTCTAGAGTGAGAAATGACAAAACAACTAAAGACAGGAGAAATTGGAATCCTCCAAACAAAGAGGAGTTGAGAGATAACTCTGAGTACATGAAATTCTTATTGGATATCAAGGATGGTGATGATAACAATGATGAGGAAAAGACTACTTGCATCAGTGATGTTGTTGTTTCACCCAGTAGCAGTACCAACCCAACCACTGTTAACAGCAAACTAACTCTATCAACTACAGATACAATGCATTGCTGATCAATTGAAGCCAAGTTTCATAGGGCGTTCCCAGTAGTAATTTAACATTCTGAATGTTACATTCCAAGTATTATTTTAAAATAAGGAACGTTATTATGTCAGCTTAGGCCTATGTGGATCCTAGTATTCCAATAATCAATGTGATAGTGTGCTACCTTCCCAAAACAATTATTTGGGTCTTGCACATACCTTAAAAACAAGGAAAAAGGATGTCCTTTCCTGCTAATATTCAGACTGTTAAGCAGAGCATTCAGGATGGTAAATTGAAGTAAAGACTGCAGTACTTATTTCTACATAGCCTGCACTGCTAACATTCAGAATGCTAAATTAACATTGGGAATGCCCTGTAAAACGTAGTTTCAATTGATGTGCAAGGCGTAATAGTACTGAGTTAAATGCAGTGGTTGGACCATTAGAAGCATTATAATAAGAAAAAAATAGTAATTATTAAATATGGATTGTTCTATTTGATAGATTCAGATCCAGTTACTGATCTGGTTGCTTTGTTGGTTGCTTATTTGGTTGCTGATCTTCTTGCTGATCCAGTTGCTCATTTGGTTGCTGGTTCTCACATTCCTCCATCTCCTTGTAGTCAGCAGTATCAAAGGAGACTTTGATCCTTACTTTGCAAATGAAGCTAACTTAATGGCTTTTGCGAGATTTTTCTTTTTCAAGCAGGTCTTTAAACAACCAGCAGCACAGGTGTCTTTTAGTTCTTTGTTGTGTGGTGGTGGCTTCCAGTCGTATTTCCAGTCTTCAATCAACTTCCAGTCTTGATTCATTACAAACTGTATGTGAGGGGACAGATTGTTGATTATTTCTGGCGGTGGTGGTGGGGGGGGGGGGGGCTCAGGAGCTTTGGGGGGAGGATCAGAGGTATCCATTACAATTTGGATCTTCCATCCAACCCCTGGATTGATGCATTGTTTCTTTATAGCCTCCAGTGCCTTCCTGGCCTTTGTTACAGGGTGCCACTTCATCTCCATGTTGCCCTTTACAATTGCAAGCTTGTGCTTTGGCATCCAGTGCTTGTAAGCACAGGCCTTGGGTCCTGTGTAAAACAGTTCCCTGGCTTGGTGCCTTGCCTTCATTCTTTTTGCTTTCTCTTCCTGTGTAATTTTACCCTCTGCTTTTGGTGTGGAGAACCAAACAAGAGCACTCCCCTTGGCTGAGGGGGGACTGAGTCAGGCAAGCTGTTGGGGGAGTGTCGGTATACATCCTTCTTATGGAGATCTTCAACAAAAAATCTGGTGTTTTGAGTTGTTGCAGCTCAGTTTGTTGCTTGTTTTGCTGTTTGCTTTTTCCGGTATCTTCCATTTTTAGCAGGGGTCTCCTCCCTCATAGGATGCATTGTTCTTGATCAATTTGAAGAGAAAATAATGGGATCGATGCATTGTGTTAATAGTGCAGAGAAATGATTCTTGCACAGTGCCTTTTAATAGAGCAGAAAGAGAACAAATGTATCAAAGATTATGAGTTAAAGATTATGAGTTAACATGATGAGTGGCCAAATTTAGTGAGCAGTTAGTCTGTTGGAGGTGCAAAGTGTCCACTGTGCCTTGAGTCAAAGTAGTCTTTACACAGTAATTAGATGGCCCAAAATCAACGCACCATACAAAATAGACATAGAGAGTTAACTAATGGTCAACTCACTCTAACACCTATATCTTGGTCCCCAAGAGACATACAACAACATTGAGCACATGGTTAGAAAGAAAATAAAGAGATCTTTCTAACTGTATGGGGGAGTTGGGGGTTCATGGCTAATTTACAAATGACAAGGCTGGCATCTCTCCACCAAGCTTATGATTATTTCTTAGAGATCCATGTCAATTCCTTAGAATTTTTGAGAGAGGCAATGAAATCTCTGGTTACAGCCACAGACATCATAAAAAATGTCCCTTAGCTTGAACTGTGGGATCTGGAATACCAAGGCTGACAAATTCAACAGTACTAAATGTCAGAAAATCACAGAAATTGGCAGTGTTGTCCACCAACAAGTTGCCAATACTACTGATACTGCTGCAAGCAATCCTCTCAAGGAATCCTTCAAACTTGTGTGCTATCTGGAATGAATGGGAGTCTGGAATTTCTGGCAACAAACCAGCAAAGAACTTCACTGCAGCTGAAAGGAACTATAAGGGAAACAATTTGTGTACTATAGGAAGTAACCCTTGTTTGGTTGTGTGTTGAAAGAAGGTTGAAGAACAGAGTGGGCAGTGTTGATGACATAATCCACACAGTATACAGTGTGTAAAGATAGGAGAAGACTGTGCCATATATTCTCAAAGCTCTTATAATTTTCAAATCAATTTTCTTCAAACGCACAAAATTACACTTCGCTTCTGAAAATTATCACCTAGATTTCCTACTGATTCCTACATTGTTCATACCTGATCAGCACCTTCTGGCATCTGAATACCATGGTGACATCCCCTTCCAAAGTGGAAAACCCACCTCCCTGGCTCCATTCAAGCACTTCTAACAAGCAAGCAATCCAACCAAAACTATTCCAAGTATTTGAATATTCCCCAGCTGGTAGCAGTTTGCCCTAGCTACTAGTGGATCTATCCCCAGTTCCTCATACGGACCAGAGGAAGATTCTGGTCAGGATGTTGTTGTTTCTGACATCCATGTTTGGACAGCAACAACACCAACCTCCAGTATTCAACCACAATCTATCCTTTGAAGAACAACACCTGGAGTATATGCTACATCATACTCAGTTTTAAAGAAGATTCCCCAGCATCTCCATGCAGTTCCAGTATTTTATGGACCGGAAGATGATTCTGATCACAATGTTGTTGTTTCTGGCGTTTGTGCTGGATAGCAACAACAACACCCCAAGCTCCATCAAGCAATCCAGGCATGATACTTATGTGCTCAGTATCTCCAGTAAGTCCACCAGCTGGTGCTTGCATTGGTTTGATTGAACAGTTTGCTTCCAAGGGGAAAGATGTTAAGAAGGACAAGGATACCAAGTCACCTCCAGTTTCTACATTGAAGGAGTTGTGCCAGTGAAAGCAGCAAAAGAAGATTCCTACAAAGAAAGAAAAGCTGTTGGAAATGTGGATGCAAATGAAGAATATTTCCCCCCTGCACAATCTGCTTGGAATTGATGCTGATGAGACCAAGCTAAAAGTACTGAAGGAAGATGAAATCACAATCAAGGACACAGCATTGGGAAAGGCAAGAGCTAAACAGTATCAACAGTCTCTTTCCTGCCTTGCAGCTATGACTGAAGAAGAAGGAGCAACTTGCAATATTCCTTCACAGGTTTTGGAAGGTCTGAAGGCAACAGTTGGTCAAGTTGCTGAGGTATAGGAACATTTTCAGTAGTAAGCACCCTAGAGTGAGCACCCCAGTAGTAAGCGATTATCTTAAGAGAAATATGTTCTTGGAAACAATTTTGATTTTGATTTTATTCCATGTTAGTAGTACTACTAGCAGTGTCTGGATATTGATTTTGTTTTGCCGGTTGGAATTCTCAAAACAGTTTCCAGCAGTAGTTAGCACCTTGGTGAGTGCCAGTAGGAAGAACAAACATTTTATCATGTTAAAGAGAAATCTGTTCTTGGAAACGATTTTGATTTTGATTTTGATTCCATTCCATGTTAATAGCAGTGTCGGGACATCATTGTTGCTTTTGTTTCGCCATTGGAATTCTCAGAAAGTGAGCAAAAAAAACAGCTGGGAAGTGCTCTGAAATGGAATTTGCTCGTTGCTTTTTGGATTCTATCTGGAACTAAGTGACAGCTTTTTATTTTCCTGTAAAATACTGCTATTTGGCTTGCTGTAGAGCCATAACGGTATCATACCAGTTTTGGACCTGTCACGCACTATTTCCAACTTCAACTCGTACGTACCGGTACGGTAAGTACGAGTACGAGTACCCGTACCCCCACTGTAGAAAAAATTGTCTTAAGTTAAATGGTCACGAACGAACGTTCGCGGTTCCGGATGTTTCACGAACTACTCGGGAATACCGTACTGTAGTGTGAACACCGAAATATGCAACACATGAACGTACCTTTTATACTCTTCTAAAATATGTCACTGATTCGTTACCTCTTACTAAAATGCGGCATCTGAAGTCAGAAATGGAACTCCAACCGCACCACCCCATTCAGCACGTTATCGCGTCGGAACAGGATTCAACGACTCTACACCCTGGACAATTATAGCAGCAACGATCAGCAATCAAGATGTGAGTACGAAATCAGAGAGTTATACAGAAGTAATTAGTTGATCCACGATGGTTATAAGTGTTAGTGTAGTGTTCAGAACTCGGAAAAGCTCTGCGATAAACTTTCGATTTCTTGGACGAGTACACTCACGTTCTTCGTTTACCGTTCGACCCTGCGTGATATCAGGTCTAGTTCATTGATGCAAGGAGCTGAATTTCAGCACATTCTTCGTATTCTCAATACAAACGTTGCGGGAAAGCGAAATGTCGTCTTCGGTTTGACCAAGATTAAGGGTCTTGGTCGTCGATTCACTGACTTGATCTGTAAAAAGGCCGAAATCGATGTCAACAAGCGAGCTGGTGAACTCACTGCCGATGAAATTGAAAAGCTTGTTGCTATTATCCAAAATCCTCGACAGTTCAAGATTCCTCTTTGGTTTTTGAACAGACAAAAGGATTTCAAGACTGGAAAGTATACCCAGGTCTTCGCCCAGAATGTTGATGCCAAACTTCGTGATGATATTGAGCGTCTGAAGAAAATTCGTGCTCACCGTGGTTTGCGTCACTGGTGGGGAATCAGAGTCCGTGGACAACACACATGCTCAACTGGACGCCGCAAATAGACATTATACCMCACTAATATGGTTCTCTAAAGGTTTCCATTATTAGTCAATTTTTACACTATTAGCAAATGCGAGACGAGATGGACGAGAGACTGGTGTTCAAGATTCATGATAGATATAACCCGAAAATGTTTGTCACTGATGCTGGAGAACAAGGTGCTGAAGACCTAACGATTTTTGTCTACGACGAGCACGACGAAGTGGTGACTTTTTCCGTCTTCGGGTACAAGTCCCATGGACGGATTCTTCGCACGACTACAAACTTCAAGAGTAATTGAAGCAGTCTTTAGCGATTAGTGGTACATCTCCAGCTGACCGTTCGTACTTTCATTCGTTTCAAGTAGCATTTCGTACAGCAGTCTCTATCAGAAGATTACTGTACTTAATTTCGTTTTCTCGAGCAGTTGCCTTTGTGGGAGTGAACGTATTTTCTCTTCACAACAGATAGTAATGAATCAAGATTCTATTGCTCTGTTTTTAACTGTTCCACCTGCTGGCCTTTTGCTTGGCCCATACCACCAAATCATGCATTCAGATTCTTTCTTCCTGGTAGCAGTACCAGTACTAGACATTATTGTTGTACTTTGATGCCAGATGATTCCACCACCAGTACGATCAACTCTACCAGCAAATACCTCAAGCTGAAGAAACTACTATTTACAATAGTAGGTGGAGGGGGGCTGTTGAAATCCCAATGCTTGGAAGTTTATCATGGGAGGACAACAAAGAGCAAAAATGATGCAACGGCAGCAAAGCAGAGAAGGAGAGTGGCAGCAGTACTACAGCAATGCATGCATTGTCATTCAAAATTCAACATTACTAGTTCTAAGAAAACTACTACTACTATGTCACTTGCAAGTAATCATACAGTATTATAAAAAATAATGGGCCATTCCCTTCTTTAGTAAAAAAGTAATAAACATACTAGTTTTGCACATTTATTACATTTATAATAATGGCAGGAATCAAATTTCCAATGGGCAGATGACAGGGAATGTTGAGTTGATGCCGGTCTTTTTTGGAATTTGAATCCTACTGGTACATTACAACTACTACAACTAGCTAGTAGTAGTAGTAAAAGGAACACAAAAATTTCCAAGTCTCACAGTAGTATAAAAAATTATGTGTTCTTTGCACTATTAGACAAGAAGGCCACAATGGGAGTCATGGAGACCATTATGATATACATATGCATACAGTTGAATGACCAGCAGCAACCCCAAAGATAATAAAGAAAACTAACTCTCAAAGAGAGGAGGCACAGGAGGGACAGAGGAACACCAAAACTTGAAATCTGTAGATATGGTAAATCTGCCTTCCATCACCTCTTCCATTCACAGCTTGATCAGTTACTCCTCAACTGCTGTGGTTTCAGGCACAAGGTATTCAGGGAGCTCCTGGAGTTGTTTGCTACAGTTTACAACAAGCACACTGCTGTTGACAAGAACAATGAGATTGTAGAAGTTCCTTGTTACCCAGTTGGAAGCCTAAGGGAAAGAGAAGAGAGGTTGATGCAGTATACGCTAGTATTGGAATGGTGCTCTACTTGTTGTTCAGAACAAGAGGATCTGTTGCTGGATCAATGGCAATGGCATTTGGCTTGACATCCACAGTGATGTACAAGTGGATTAAGTTCTCCAGGAGAGTGCTCCTCCTTGTTCTTCACAACCATCCACTCACCATGGTCAATGTTCAAAACAAGCAAGAAGTGGATGATTGTGTTGAAGCTATTGGAAATAAGTACCCACACCTTGGAGAACATAGTGTTTGGGCTGCAGCTGATAGATTGAAGAACCCCATTCAGGCCTCTGAAGGCTGGGCCAAACAGAGACCATTCTACAACATCTGGAAACAAAATACCTTCATGCATTAATCGTGTGTTTGCCCTTATGCCCAATGGAAGGATCATGGTTTCGGTCTTCAATTGTCCTAGCACCTGAAAGAAGTTCACAATGCATTCAATGGAGCAAAGGTTGTTGTGGATTCTGCATTCAATTGAAGGAAAAGAAGTGTATCCCTGTCAATAGTAGCTTGGAGAGAGGAGCATCATCATGAACTTGCTGCTCAACTTGTACAATTTTTGGTGATGTACCATTGGGTACAACCAGATCCTTTCAGTCTTTGTGAAGACCCCAGCTGCAGCTCACACCAACATGCTGTATTAACACAAGGAGGTTGAAGGAGGGCTCTTTTGTGTAGGGGGTAGGTTATCTCCAGATGCCAGTCAGCTATTTTGGTGGTGAATCCCCTGCTCAATTGGTTTTGGTTGTTGATGTGGTGACTAGTAGCTAGTGTAGTTGAAAAAAAAGGTATTCAGTTAGAATTGATCCAGGATTGTGATTGTACAGCAAAACGCAAATAACAAGACAACAATGACATGCAAAGAATCCTGGTCTTAGACTCACACAATCCCATGGTTGCTTTCCCATGGTTGCTTCAATATATCTGATAATGAACTTTAGTTTCAATAGTAGTTGTTTGTATCAAGAATACAGAATACAAGTTACAAGGACAACTCTTTACTGGGGCAAACAACAAACTGTACTGGGGGAACATGTTTATCACTGTATTAAATTGCATTATGGGTTTTCGTGTACACCCTTTTTCTAGTCATGAAAACAGAATTGTTGGCACAGAGCAATGTTATATCATACTATAAGAAGAATTGCACTGTGATGAAGATAAATTGATGATGCAATCACAAGTACCCTGTAATGGTGATAAAATTGTTGATTCAGTGGTACATGTGCATGTGGAAGTGAACCCTGGTGTGTGGGATTAGACATTGCTGGTGATCTGATCATATACTTCTGTATGGTGTATATGCTAAAGTGAACCCTGGCTTAAGGAGATAGCGGTTTCTAATCTGGCATTTGTATACATACACACCAATACATGAAAACCAAACCAGTAGAAGCCAGTATGAGCCAGTACTATCATATCATGAGCCATTACTATAACCATGTACTTTAACAACACAGTGTAGTGCATGCAAATGAGAGGGGGAAGATAGTAGGTACACTAAAGAGCTCTAGGATGTATTGTGATGTAACTCAACAGCTCCAACTCAATCTTCACCACGGGTCACTTGTTGCTGCCAGTGCAGAGGTTAGCAGGTGGCAGATGGTAAAAAGAAATTTTGTGCTGCCACTGATTGAAAATTGTGATCACCATTCCAAGAACCTCCTTCCACATCTGATTCGTCTCTTTGTCTCTCTATATCTCTGTCTCTCTGTTGCTGGCTCCTGAGATAATGAATAAATACAACAGCATCGCCAGGAACACTGGAAGCCTGATACTTCATCCCACCATAATGATACAATCTCTTCTCCCAAGAAGTCAATTTCACTGGCTGCCACACAGATGGTGGCAATAGCAACATTGGCACCATTACCTCTGCTGTTGGTGCTCCTCCTCCAGCAGTAGTCACAGAGATTGGTTCTCCTCCTTCAGCCATTGGGGCTCAGAAAACTTCACAGACTCACTCTTTAAAAAACTTTTCTCCAGATCAAAGCTGTCCTTTTGATTACCAATATTTGCCTTCTGACCAATCAAGACATGGGTGTTCCTTGCAAGCTTCGCATACTCTGGAACATTTGTATTTCCAGTGGAGGTCTTCCTTCTCTTTACAGAACTGTACAATTTGGTCCTAATAGATTGCCTGCCTCTGAAAAAGGCCCCACTTGCTGCTTGCTTGCTGACTACCAAGTCCCATTCCTCTGGATCAATCTCTCCAAGAGTATCAATCCCATGAGGCTCTCTATCTCTGGAACAGGTTTTCTACACCAGCATTGCGGCTGCTGTTGCTATTTTGATCCATCTTAAAAAAATATAGTATGCAGGATTGGGCAAGGATCTGCCTCTTTGCTGTCCACATCCTCCTGCTGTTGCTCTCTTTGCTGCAACAGAGAGAGGAAATATAGAGCACTGTTTTGGACATTCTTTGTTTTATGCTGCCCCATTGTTGTTAATACCAGAGGCCATTGTCAGTAGAGGTACATGATAGAGGTACATGATAGATGTACATGATAGAGGTACATGATAGATGTACATGATAGAGGCCCTCTATAAGACTAAAACTGTTATATGGTTAAACAACACTGTGGATAGATAATGGGCCATCTTTTGCCATGTAATGACTAGTTTGACTCAAAGCATTCCAGTCCTATAACAAGCACTTTGCACCTCAACATGTTCTAGTGGTACAGCAATATCATGTGCATGCAAAACTATTTTGGTTCCAAGACTAGTAGTAGTGGGAATAAAATGCAGCACATGCCTGACTGCATGTAGACTGAAGTACAAGCCAGTGTTTTGTAGTCATTTCACGCAAAAGTAAGGGTTCAGTATCAACAGCTGTCGTATTGTAGATCTAAAAGCCAACTCTACACAATACAGGGTACTAGTACAAAACTACATCATGCATACTTGTATATACTACATACACCAGTACATACTTATACTTCCTAAGTCACTGAGTGATTGTGCCCTAACACCTTTACTCCTAAAATAAGCTCAATTTTGGGGCAATTTTGATGGTTCATTTTTTATTCTATTGCTCTTACTTCTTGTTTAATACCAGTTTAATGTGTTATGCCTTTCAATGTCGTACCAGCAATAATAAAGTTACAAACCTTCAAATGGGGCTATTTTTTAATGTAATATTGACTTTACAAGTTGAAAGGATCCCAACAGTGATTTTGATAAGCTGCTACTTGCACATGACAGTCATTGTTTTTTAAATTTATTAATTGATTGATAAGTAGTAATCAAATCTTATTGTTGGTGAGTTAGAAAGAATTTTCCAAATAGCAGCCTCCCCCAAAAGCATAGTGACAAATCTCAAAGAGGTATATCAAATGAACTGTATGGAATCTTATTTGTGGGCTTTCAACATGCTTTTTTTTCTCTGTTTTTAGTCTTTTGACACTGATTTCCTTGCCAATTGGTACTAGCTCTCAGGTCATTCTTGTGGGACAGAGGAAGTAGTACTATACAAGGTATGAGAGTACCAAGCATTGAGAATACTATATTTCATGGTGATATGTAAGATATGAGAACACAACCAATGGTTGTGACATCACAAGAACAGAACTCCAAGAACCCCTATTGATCCAGTACTAGGATCTCCTACACCAGGCAGGGAATAGTCTAGTAGTGAAGTGCTTGACACTTCCTCCTTTAAGAAGACAAGAATATATCACCACTTGAAGTGGTGTGTGTACACTTTAGATACTAAATAAGATTAAAATTCATTCTAAACCAATAGAAGAGTGCTGTGTGTCATTATTACACAATTAGAGCCCAGGGGGGAGCCAGTTCTCCATTAACAGCTGGTATGGCCAAAATTGGCCAGCAGAGACTGGCTACTGGTTAGAAAATAGGCCAGAACTCTATCAAAAAACAACTCTAGACCACCAGACTAAGGGCCCAGTCCAAGTTGATATAATTACTTATAGATCCATGTCATTGGGAAGTCAAATAATGCTCTAGTGGCTTAGAACTCGTCAGCCAAAGTTACAGGTAGTGAGGGGTCCAAAATCGTTAATTCTTCGTGTAATTTTATCGATGAAACTCGAACCGTATTACTACTACCGTTCGATACTTCCTAATTTTGCCATCGTCTGATCTCAATCAAAGGACTTTCTCTACGAAAGAGTACGTAGTGTGAGGTACTTACGTCTGTGCGCAGCGTTCGAGTACTACGGTTTCCTTCCCTGGAGCAAAGGACCTGTACGTCGTCACTGTAGGATACATAGAGTGGAACACGCAACTTCCCGATCGCCTACCTGCACTGTACCGTAACGTGCTTCGAAGGCACCCTCATGACAACATCAGCAATCGATCTCAAGAAGACGACCATCAATAGTTGCAGCTGGACACAGCACGACACAGCCCGACGTCTTGATCAAAGGAAAGAAGCAAGTAAATTATATTCTTGATCAAAAGAATTGTTCACGAAAGCTACCAAAAATGGCTTTCAACAGACTATTTAAACATATTGAGGGTCTCATCCAAACCGATGATGAAGTCGCTGAATCCGTTCCTTGTAAGGCGGATATTATGAGCTTGAGAGAATGTCGAAAGGGAGGAAAGGTAAGAGCCAAGACTGTCATTTTCGATCAAAGGTATTGATTGTGCAATAAAAATTGGAATCCACTCTGATGACGCATATGCATTTATTTAGGCTTGCGATGAAATCGGGCTTGATCTCTTGAGATGCATGGCTCAATTTAAGGTCGATACAACCGAGAAGGTCCGCACAACTATCGGAGTTGCAAAATACAACGAGTATGTTAAGGAGATGGAAGACAAGCACGGAAACGAAAAGGCTGCACAAATTATCAATGAACCTTCGGAACAACTCAAAGACATAGAGGCTTACCAGGTATTGCATAGAATTGCCAATGATACCCATCCAAAGGGAGCTCCCAAAACAAAAGATGATTTGATGAATTGGTCTTACGCCGATCAGGTCCGCTTGGAGATGGGTGAAGGCGAGTGGTGGGATGCAGTAAAAATTATTGGTTATGAGTTTGGTCTTGCCAAAGCAGACGCTCTCTTTGGATTGAAAAAGGAAAACGATATGATCCATTCAGCCCAAAGTAGATTGATCCCCGGATTTGCGGAAAGGAAGGCAAACGCATTGGTCGCTGCCAAAAAGGTTGAAGATTCAGTTAAGGAGGCTGCGCCGGGTGGTAAAACAGCTGCTGATTTCAAGGCAGCATTCGATGACCTTTATCCGAGTAAGGATGATCTAGAAGCGGCTCTGAAGTAAGTCATCCGTTTTACACCATGCGCCGTTTCCTCGGATAACAAATCAGTGAATCCATTGATTGAAATAAACCTCTAGAACACAATCGCGTCATTAATAGTACGATTTTTATTTTTACTGTATCTAATGATTCCTATATTTTATAAATATTTGTGCTATAGGTAAGAGGGCTTCGGTTTCGTAAAAGGACAATCTTATCTTGCGCCTTCACCAATATCCCAATACAATCTCCTTAAAATTCTATTAAAGAAAGCTCCAAAGCTTTCAAAATTTCTTTATCCCCTTCTTGGTCGTCAAACTGATTAAGGCCTGTTTCCTCTGGCATCATCGACAGCTCGATCAATTGCTTAATATCAGCGTCTGGATCATCATATTCGATTTTCGAGATTTCCTTCGCTTTCCGAATTTGGTCTTCTTCATCTATCGATTGCAGAATTGATTCTCGTTTTGAAAGTTCTATTACTTCTTGCAGCTTTTCTTCCTCTTCTTTTTTCTTTTCTTTTTGTTTCTCTTCGTTCAACAGGGAAAGACTGATAGCTCGCTCGAGAACCTCACTATCTTTTCTATTATCCTCGTCTCTTTTTTTGTTTGATTCCAATGATTGTGATACAGCCTTGTCGAATGCTGCATCCTCTTTTGATCTCCTATGGAAAATCCTCTTTAATTCTTTCTTTTGCTCCCGATCATTTGCTGCAAGTGTGAAATGCCGAGACATGCGATCTGCATCATTCGTTACACTTGAGTATGATTGTGGAGCTATGAGAACCTTGGAATCTTTTGGTTGCTCTAGATCGTACAATACAAAACCAGATGACGCGTTGACTGAAAAACTTCCTTTACTATTCATTAATCGGTGTTCCATTTGCCGTTTTTCCAAAAGTTCTTTAATAGCAGTCCTCAAGACAGCTATTACCATGTCCGCAGCATGATTTGTTTACAGAAACATTAAATTATTAGAGTAGATCACGAACGTAAAATATAACAATGGAAACCCATCTCGAGACAACTTACGACCACCCGAACTGTGGTTTCCTTTCCCTGTGATGATCTGCACCCATGCTGGTTTGGAATTTTTCATCATCGTATTTGCTCGGTCCAAAAATTCTGTCGTTCTTCGAATAGCTTCACATTTCGTGTATCCGTGTAAATCGAGCGTGGGCATCTCCTCGGGCACCGGATGATGAGCTCGTAATTCTCTCCGCATGTTGCTATTAATCATATATATACTTTGGTAGTAACTGTTCGTAGCCAAAGGATGTAAATGATTCGAATTCTTCAGAGCATGATGTTCTTGAGAGATGTTGACTTGAACGTTACAGAAAGAAGTTTTGTCCTGCCAAATAGTACGTACTCGTTCGAATACTTGGGTACTCGTACTACTACGAGCAAGAACGGAACTTCCCGGAAATCACTTCAAAATCATAATATCAGAGCTCTTTTGATCATTGATCATTGATGACGATGGCATGCATGAACACTACCACGATCTACTGTACCAGTAGTACATTACGTCCTGTAGTTAGTATTTTAAAAATTTTAAAAAAATCATTTTTCTTGTTCAATTTTTCAGTCACGACGAGCGTTCCGCTAGCTTCGTAAACGTGCGGGCTCGTGACTGAGCAGAGCGACTAAATAGACCCCTGAGCGGTTTCCACCCACGATTTTTCTAATGGAGAGCGAAATTCTGGCTGGTTTTCGATGGTCCCCACACAAACTCTCACAAAATTGTTAGGGTCAATAGTTAAAAAAAATGTTTCAAATTATTTCATGGAGCGTTGTCTGTATCACCATCCTCCTTATCAGCATCCAGTTTGAGCTGTGTACCCAATGGACACTTACTAAGTATGATAGGCACATGAATCAAAAGAAATTTTAAACAGGGCTGTAGTAGCATTGTGGGGGAGTTTGGGGATCCTAGTGATATTGATTGATATACTTGTATGTACTACTAGTAGTATATACAGCATTAAAAATGTAGTAGTAGAACAGATTGTTGCCTCTTGCAGATGAAATGTATGTGATGCACATGATGCAGTTTCTAAAGCAATCTTGATGTCCAGATCAAAACAAGTGATACCCTTACTGTGCCAACGTCACAAAAAGTGATCGCACC